TAATATTTTCAAGGATCATAGAGGAAGTAAATAAAACAAAGATCCTGGAAAGAATTTTATTACATTTTGATGATCTTAAGAGAAGAAAGAAAAGAGAAGGAAAAAGGAATATGCTAGGGGGGAAAAATAAAGGAAGGGCAGTAGAACTAATTATCTCACATTAGCAGAGAGCTACACATCAAAAAGACTGTATATTATGATCAAATAATAATTTATGCCAATAATGCAAGATTGCTTTAATTAGGAAAATGTTAAACATTATAGGTCGTGTTAATAACAAAAATAATCAAAATTAAATTACTAATAGATGCATTTTTTTTTTTTTACAAAATTGTAACAGCAAGGTGTTACGGCCTGTGCAGCACTTATAATTTGTTTCATGGGTTCGGATCTGTACCCGCAAAGACACATTCATACTTTTCCTAGCTTATAAATGATTTAATAATGATAATAATCATGAACATACATGCACACAAATGTGATTACATATGATTATACAATCTTAGAAACAAAGACTATTAACAGAAAGAGAGATCAAGAAGAAGAAATACATCACCAATCTGAGGAAGCACCAACTCCCAAACATCTGGCTGGGGGAGTCCTGTATCACAGCCGTCAGGGTCTCAGTTGGGAAAGTCCCTATGGCAGAGTGTCCTCTCCAAGGGAGACTCCCAAAGTCACTTTCCCAAGAAAGATCCTTTTTTATTGTCCTTACACAAAGAAGGCAGGGAGCCAAGTAACAGGTGATTAATCCTAAGGACCTGAGAGGTTTGGCCAACCTCAAGAACATTCTTTATTATGTCAAAAATTTCTTGGGTCAATACTCAGGAACTGGCCAAGTCCCTGGATGTTTATCTCAAGACTTGTTTTTTTTTTTGTTTGTTTGTTTTTAAGGAATAGTTCCCCAAGGTGGGTCTGGGTTGAAATAAATCCCAGAACAATATGTTAGGAAAGTTCCTTGTCCCTTGGCTTCAGCTGTGGATAGGGAAAATCTTATACATTAACCCTTCAAAAATACAACATTCATTTATGTTTAAAAAAAACCACACATCAGAGGGGCAGCTAGGTGGCGCAGTGGATAGAGTTCTAGCCTTGGAGTCAGGAGGACCTGAGTTCAAATCCAGCCTCAGACACATGACACTTACTAGCTGTGTGACCCTGGGCAAGTCACTTAACCCCAACTGCCTCACTAAAAAAACAAAACAAAACAAAACAAAAAAACACATCAGAAAGCATAGGAATAAATGAATCTTTAATATAGTATATAGTACTGTTATCTAAAACCAAGAGCCAGACTTGCATCTAAGATAGATCTACTACCAATGCCTTTCCAAGAAGACCATTAGAACCAAGGGTATCGATTATTACCACTACATTTGACATAGTAGTAGAAATGCTAACTACAGCAAGGAGACAAGACCTCAAAATTGAGGGAATAAGTATAGAAAAAAAGAAAACTAAATTATTTCCTTTTGCTGACGATATTATTGTTAGAGAACCTAAGAGATTTAATTTAAAATTAATTGAAATAACTTCAGCAAAGTATCAGGTTATAAAATAAGCACACAAATCATCAGCCTTTCTATGTATTACCAGCAAAACTCAGTAGGAAGAGACAGAAAAATAAATGACATTCAAAATCATTAAAGAATATATAACATTTAGGAATCCATTTATTGAGATTCACATAAGAACTCTTAAGAGAACAATTATGAAATACTCTTTACAGAAATAAAGACACATTTAAGTAAATGGACCTATATTGCTGAACATTTATGAATATTAAAAATGACAATACTACCTAAATTAATTTACTTATTCAATACTATACTAATCAAACTACCAAAGGATTACTTTAGACAGCTAGAAAAAAATTACAGCATCCATTTGGAAGAACAAAAAGTCAAGATTCAAGGGAAATAATGGGGAAAAGATAGGAAGGAAGAGGGCCTGTCAGTATCAGATTTCAAACTATGCATTAAAATATTATTCATTAAAACTATTGGTACATTAAAATATTATTCATTAAAACTATTGTGAGCTTTTATATCTAGCTTATGCATTTATTTGTTACTATGTTCATTTATGTATTTATTCATATTCATATTATGTATGTTAAATACTTACTCTGTTTCATGGATCAACTTTTCTATGTTTTAAGGATTCACTTCAACAAACTTCTGGGAAAATAGGAAAACAGTCTGGGGAAAAAATGGGCCTAGACTAACACTTCCCACCATATACAGCAAAAAGCTCCAAATAAATGCATAAGCTAGATATAAAAGCTCACATAATTTAAAAAAAATTAGAAGACTAAGGAAGAAAATACTCTTTGCAACTATGCATAGGAAAAACATTCATGACCAGGCAAGTAATAGAGAAGATCTTAGAAGATAAATTGAAACAAGTTATATCACATAAAATTGAAAAGTTTTTCTACAAACAAAATCAATGCAGTTATTATTATAAGCAGAAGAGTTAACTGGGAAAACATTTGCAGTAATTTTTCTGATAAAGATCTGATATCTAAAATATATAAGGAACTAATTAAAATTATTTTTGAGAGTTTCTAAATGACTTCATATGAGGAAAGTAGAATCCAGACCTCATACTAATTTTCAGGTCTAGTACAAACTGTGACATTTCATTTTATTGTTTGTTTTTTAATTTTTTCAATCAACATTTATTTTCTGTCCTTCCACCTCTTAATTAACAAATCATTTCTTTTCTCTCCTTCTACCTCCCTCACATTCCAATGGAAAGAAAAAAAAAGAACTTATGATAAATATGTATATGATGCAAAATAAATCCCATCTTGACTATGTCCAAAACTTTGTATCTCCTTCTGCATATTTAGTCCATCATCTGACAGGCAATGTGTATTAATGAGCCTCTGAAATCATTGATTGATCATTCCATTAACCAGAGTTCTTAAGTCTTTCAAGACTGTTATTTTTTAACATAATGCTATCATATAAATTGTTCTCCTGGTTCTGCTCACTTTGATCTGCATTGATTCATACAAGTCTTCCCAGGTTTTTTTTTTATATTCATCCCCTCCATTATTTCTTACAGCACAATCATATTCCATTGTATATACTCATATGTCATCATTTGTTCAGCAATTCCTGAATTGATAGACACTCTCAGATTCTAGTTCTTTGCCACCACAAAAAGAACCACTATAAATTTTTTTGAGCATATAGGACCTTTTGCTTCCCCCCGCGCCCCAAACTCTGCGGCATAGTTTTAATAGTGGTATGATGGGTCAAAGGATATGCACATTTGGCATATTTCCAAACTATTTTCCACAATGGATATACTAATTCATAGCTTAACCAATAGTGCACTAGTGTGGCTGTCCTCACCCTCTACCTTCAATAACTGTCATTTTTTTTTTGTTCTCTTTGCCAGTCTGCTAGGTCTGATATGGAACCTCAGAGTTGCTTTATTCTCTAGAATTTAATCTATTCTCATTTCTCTAATTATTAGTAATTTGTAGTATTTTTCATATGGCTATAGATAACTTGAATTTCTTTCCCTGGGAACTGCCTGTTCATATCTTTTTACTAATTATGAAATGGGGAATGGCTCTTTTTCTTATAAATTTAAATCTATTCCTTAAATGTCTTGGAATAAGTCAGAAATTATCAGAGAAACTTACTCTGTACAGGTTTTTTTTTCTCAGTCAACTGTTTCTCTTTTAATCTAGATGCACTGGATTTGTTCATACAAAAAAAATAATTTTGTGTATATAAAATTGTCCATTTTATCATCTCTGATCCTCTCTAATCCCTTGTTTGGTCATGAAGTCTTCCCCTATATACAATGTGACAATATATATCTAGATTATGTGTCCATTTAGAGCTTATTGCAGCATCTCACAGGGTCGTTATGAGGATCAATTAAGTTAACAAATCCAAAGTGCTCTGCAAACCTTAAAGCACTATATGATTTCTACTACTATGATGACAATGATGACAACATATAGTTCTACATTAGGTTCACTTGCTTCTGTATGTTGCAAACCTAATCTGTTCCACTGATCAACCTCTTAATTTTTAAATCAGTATTAAATCAATTTTTTAAAACAACCTCTTTCCAGTTTGATATCTGGTACTACCAATGATAAAAATAATAGCCATTCCCCAGTAGATTAATGATCAAAGGATATGAACACAAAGTTCTCAGAGGGAAAAAATCCAAATTCTCAACTGTTACATGAAAAAATGAACCACATCTCAAATAATTAGTGAAATGCAAATTAAAACAACTCTGAGGTTCTACCTCATCTATCAGATTGGCAAAGATACATATATGTAATAATATATAATATGTAATAAAGGAAAAATGACAATTGTTGGAAGGGCATGGGAAAACATACATACTGGCATACAATTGGTAGAGCTATGGATTAGTCTAGCCATCCTAGAAAGTAGTTTGGAACTATCCCTTCAAAGTCACCAAAGTGTGTTTTCTCTTTAACCCTGTGATATAATTATTAGACCCATAGCCAAAGGGATCACAGAAAGAGGAAAAGGACCCCCATATGTATAAGAATATTTAGAGCAACTCTATTTTTGAGGTTGCAAAGAACTGGAAACTAAGGAAGTATGTCCATTATTTGGGAAATGGAATAATTATGATATGTTGTTGTTGTTGTTTGTCCTTCCTTTTCAAAGAGGACTGATGACATCACAGGGTGATGTCTTGACTCATGCATGAATTGGATTTAAGTGAGGCAGTATTGCACAAAGCTGTCAGCCTCACTCTTTCTTCCAGAGTCATCAAAGTCCAGTGGCAAGACAAAAGTCAAGATGACTGGTGATGGCTGGGATGAAATGGATGAATTTGGCATCTTTGATGAATGACCAAACTCTAAGTGCTTCACAGCACGTACTTCGGTCACCTTCATGGCCATTGGAACAAATTGTTCTCATCTTCTCATTCTACCAGGGAAGTCTTCACATGCTTGGGGTAGACACCCCCCTAAATCATTGATGGGTTTGAGGCCTATCCAAGAAGATTTCCTCGGGTGTGGCCACTGTGGGTGCTATAGCTTCTTGGAGCCACAGGTAAGAGCTGTACCAGGTACATACCAAAGGCAAATGAGGAGCCCTGAAAAGAGGTTGGCAAGCCATCACAGCAGAAGCGCTATTCCTCCTTGAACATCCCATGAAATATTGAGTAATTCAATAGTTTGAAATGATCAATGGACCCTTTCAGAGAAATCTGGGAAGATTTATATGAACTGATATAGAGTGAATTGAGCAGAACCAAGAGAATAATTTGTACAGTAACAACATTATGAAGAAAAAATATTTTGAAAGACTTCAGAACTATGATGACTGCAATGACCAGACATGACTCAGGAAGACCAAAGATGAAGCACTCTACACATTTCTGACATATGATGGACTCAAAGTATAGAATGAGACATCTTTGGACATAGCAATCATGTGGATTGTTTTGCTTTACTATGTTTGTTATAAAGATTGTATTTTCTTTTATTTGGGGGTGAGAGCTGGATTTGGATAGGAGAGGGCATCTAGAAATACTGTTGCTAAAATAAAAGAAGAAAGAAAAGAGGGTCATTGAAGGTATTTAAAAATGGATGGAATAGGGGGCAGCTTGGTGGTGCAGTGGATAGAGCTGTGGCCATGGAGTCAGGAGTACCTGAGTTCAAATATGCCTCAGACACTTGATGCCTACTAGTTGGGTGACCCTGGGCAAGTCACTTAACCCTAATTGCCCCGTTAAAAAAAAACAGAATAGAAAGAAGCCCAAAGAAACATAGGCAAGCAGGAGAGCTTTAAATGTAATGTGTTAAATTTATCATATACTTTGTATATAAAAATGTTCCTTTTGGGGGCACTTGTTATATTCAGAATAAAAATAAAAATAAATAACATTCATTTACAAGCCTTTAAGTAATAGAGATTGTGTCACATACAACCCTCTTTTCCTGTTCTTTTTATAAGGAAATATTTTTTGTTGATGTTTGTCAGGTTCATAATAAAAATGTTTTAAAAAGAACATAAAATTGTTTGATATTAGAAGATTATGGTCAATTTTTACCTCATAAAAACCATCAAGAAGCAGCGAAAGGAAAAGACAAGCTTAAAGAAAGATTGGCAGGAAACCCAACTGAGTAAAATCATCCTAAAACGTTTAGCATTTAATGATAAAAATGGAAGAAGTGCCTGGAAATAGAGTCACTGAGGGGAAAATAGCTGGTAGCATTAGTACCTGGGAATAAAGTCACTGGAAGGGTAGTAGTGTGGGAACACAGTGCCAGGGAGTACGATCCCAGAGAATAAAAAGCACAGTATGAAAGGAAAGTACCAGCAAGCTTAATGCCTAATAGCGTAGTTAATGGGAGAAGAGTAAGTGGAAGTAGCGTGCTTATATTATATATGGGCAGCTAGGGGGCGCAGTGCATAGGTAGGTGCTATTATGCTCTCCATTTTAGAGTTCAAGAAAGGGAGGCAGATAGAAGGTTAAAGCTAGCAAGTCTCTGGGCCGGATTTGAACTCACGTCTGCACAACCCCAGGCCCAGACACAACTGACAGCATAATAACAGTTAGTTCACTGGGAGCTGAGTGCCTGGGAGCGTCCAGTTGCTGAAGGCTGTGTTGCAGGAAGCAGGGACCTCACAGCTTGGAGCACTTCTGAAGTTGCTGATAGCAGAGTGACGGAGAGCACACAGTGACTGGGGGGAGCATGTGTTGTTAGGGAACTGGCAGTGATGGGGGGGGGGGACACTCAATGACCTAACACAGGCAGGAGGAGACTCCAGACTGGGCCCCAAGTCATTGGGAGTCCGTCCTCGAGCCTTGGGAGCACGTGGTGCCTGGGAGCCCGCAGTGACGGGGAGCACGTGGTGATTGGGTGCCCTAGGGGACTGACTGCGAGTCAGCCTCTGACTGTGACTGGGCCTCCCATAGGCTGGTCGGGCAGCCCCGGGCCAGGAGCAGCGGGTCGCTGGGTCTCAGCGGGAGGCCCTCGTTAATGCCGGGCTGGCTCGGGCAGGGCAGTCAGCTGGGGCCCCGCGGGGGCGCCCACCTCCAGAAGAGGTGTGGGGCCTCCCCCGCCCTCGAGAGCCCACGAGGCTTCTGTCTGGCCGTCGCCCTGCAGACTTATTCCAGAGGTGGGAAACTGAGGCTCCTCCGAGCCCCAGGCCCGCACTTGCCTCCCCGCGGCTCCTCCGGTCTCCGGAGGTAGTGGTGACGGCCCTTCCGGGCTTGGGCTCCTGGATCTGGCCGGGCGAATGCTCCCCGGGCTGGTGGAACGGGGGCCTTGAGGAGGAGGAGGAGGCCGGGGGCAATTGTGGTTGCCTAGCGACCCAGGCCCAGAAAACCTCTCGGGAGCCGTCGCCGCCGAGTCACCGGCCAGGGGTCACCTCCCCAGGCGCGTGGTCCAGCCCGGCGCCCTCAACCGCGCCGGGCCGCGGGGCCCACATGTCCATCTATGGCGACGAGGTCCCGTGCACCTCCCCACGCTGCTCCCTCAGGATGGCCGAGCCGGGCGTGTGTTCCCGGGCCTTTGTAGTGCACCTGGAAGCGGCTGAGGAAGTCGGGGACGGCGCTTGGGCCCAGGGCGCCGTGGGGTAAGAGGGGCTCGGCCCCCCCGGGAAACCCCTTCTCCCCCCCTCCAAGCCAGCCACTTGCTGCCTTCGTGCCCCGCGCCTGTCCGGGCAGGAAGCGCCTTGAGGGGCCTCAGCACCCCCTATCTCTCAAGCAGCCCCCTGCCCAGGCGCACCCACTTAGCCAGCCCCGGGCGTCATTGTCGACAAAGCTAGGCAGCAGAATGACTGTCTTTGGTGCTCAGACCTTGACCATGCCAAATTGGGTTCGCTGGCTCCCCCAGGACTGACTCTTGCCCAGGGCCCTTTCCTATGGGCCTTTGTCTTCCAACACCCCACCCCCCAGGCCCTTGAGTCTCTTAACCTAACCCACCCGCCTTCCTCGTCTTTCATCTCTAGTAATAGGAACCTGTCCAATGGTCCACTGCAATGCATTGGGCCTTCTGCTAGGTGACACTAGTTATATACTTAATAGTTAATACAAAACTCCATGTTCATCATGTACCAGAATCCACTTATTTCATGGTTTCTGAAGGCTTTTTAGTGTGGCACTTGTAGTGTTTTAAAAGCAATTCTAACTTTATCAGGCACTCTCAATTTATAGGCATGTTTACAAAATATCATTAAAGAAGGCTGGGAATTTTTGGCAATGTGAGAGGAGTTGGGGTGGGGAATTCTTTCATCCACATTTATCCAGTGCCTTCTGTGTTCCAGACATTGTGCTAGGCACTGTACTAGATACTTTTGGAGGAATACAATGAAATAGGGCATGATACCTTCCTCAGAGATAGAGTAAAAGTTGGGTTTTATAATGCCAAAGTTGGATTCAGGAAACTTGGGTTAATTCTTCACCCCCTTACTATTTTGAATATTTATTTTTCCTCTTCGATCCTCAGTTTCCTCATCTGTTAAGATGAGCATAACAACACTTTTATCAACTACCTCACAGTGATAAGTTTAGTAGGGAGTTTACAACCTAGGAGGTAACAAATTACCATAACAAAAAATAGATGATGATAAGTGCATAAGAGGTATGAACAAAATTGCCCTTTATTAGAATTCTTGAAAGGGGAGAGATCTTTGGGTAGGTGGACCTTTAGTACCCCTCCTATTGCATTGAGTAGGTGGTGCCTGCCCTGTTTTCTAATTTTATGACCTGTGTAGATTGTAATGGACTTTAGGCAAACAAAACCCATGACTTTTATCAATTCCAAATAACTCACCCTGTTTTGCCTTTTTTTTCCAGAATTTATCATCTCTCCCTTTCCTCTTTTGATCTTTTGTCAGTCTGACCTTTCCTATCTGCTTCTACCTATCTTCAAAGTGTCACCTTACTACTATTAATCTTCTTTCCACTGGCTGGTTCCTTACAGTATCAACTTGGTATCCCAACTGTTTTGCCTTCTTAATACTTCCTTATCCTCTCTAGAAGAGAGGATCCTTTCACAGGGAGTGAAGCCTATGCTTTACTTCTATGGATAAGACAATACTTACATAAATGTACCTGTCCTACACTTGTATAGGAGGATTTTGAAGAAACAGAGGAGCAACTTCAACATAATGGGGAAAAGAAGTTCGTTTGGTGGGATCAGTGGCAGTCATCTTCCAATCTCAAACATCCCTCATGAGGTATGACATCAGTTGTAACTTAAAATACTTTGTAAGTATAGCAACACCTATTGCCAAGTGGAATCGAGTCACACTGTTAAGATTTCTTTTTTATTTCATTCCTAGGTTTAATCAAATTTCCACTTGGTGGATTTGTAAAACAAGTTATTGGAAATAACCTCTGTTGTCCAGATAGGCATAGTAAGTTAGACAGACTCAGGATGAGTGAAGCAGTTGAAACCTTTACTACGTTGTGGAGCTTGAGATGAGCACACACACCCTACAGAAGTGAGAACAAACCTTATATCCCTCCTAGTCGACTTTCATTGGTAGAAGTCAGCACAGGTTGCAGACTTCCCAAAAATGACCATCACATCTTCCCCTTAGTATGTTCTACCCCCCTTCTTCATATATGTATGTTTAGAAAATGGCATCTTAACCTCACCCAGAGTTGGAGAAGCTAGTATTCATGAGCCAATTAAGCTTGCACCCCATGAGTAAAGCTTAACCTTTGTCCAACTTCCAGCCTTTTTAATCAAACAACCAGTTTCACCCAATTTTAGCTGGTTCTTGAAGTTCTTGACCTAGAGCTACTTTCCTTTCAGTTTCCTTGTATGGAAATGTAATTTCTTCTCACAAAGTGAAATCAGTTTTTTCTTGTGCTCTAAACATATTTCTAATTGTAATAAGGCTTCGCTAAAGTGGTCAGGCAGTATTCTTTTTCTTGTTTCACTCTTCACAACAAAGGACTTAGGCAACAAATCAATTAGCAAAATTTTTTTTGAGCACCTAGTATCTGCAAGATACTGTATAGGGATACAAAAAAAATATAAGGCAGTTCTTACCCTTAATATCAAATTACCATAATACAAAATATGGTAAGGATTTTGTGGCATCTCAGATGTGATAGTGGTCCCCAGAAGGTTTAGTGAACATGCAGTTAAGTGCCAGGGTATTGAGGGAAATGAAACTATTTGTGATACAGCTGTATTAATTATAACATAAGCCCCTTTAAAAACCTGTTTTCCTTTGGCTTAAAAGGAAGTATGGCATAGTGGAGAAAGAAAGAGCTGGCTTCTGAACTAGGAAGACCTGGGTTCAAGTTCCACCTTTGCCCTATTCTGGCTGTGTGACCCTGGGCAAGTAATTTAACCCCTCAGTGTGCTAGGCAACTATTTAAGACTATAAATTGCAGAGAAGGTGCCATTTTGCAATGGTAGAAGGAATTTCTTCGTCCGGAAGTTCTCTACATCAGTGAAATCACAGGTCCAGTCTCTATCTCTTTCCTATGGATTAAAAGCTCACTCAAGTGTTTCAGGTTTGTATTGGATTGATAGCAATATTTGTCTGCTCCCCAACCATAGTAATGACCGCAATGAGTATAATAAGCAAAGGGCAAAGGAAGTATTGAAGCATTATTGCTTACTAGCGTATACAATTTGTATATTAGCATATTTAGTGAATAATAAAAATTAAGAAAATGTAGCTGAGCTTCTTACCTAGCATTAAGTCTGTCCTGAAACAAATATTGTTATAGAATTTACCCCACTGGAATTTGGAATCTGATGTCTTCACTCCTGAAAGTAAAAACCCTCCACCTGGAAGGGAGAGTGCAGCAGGTGGTAAGCAATCCTAGAAGTGCATATTTCTCTTGGAAAATAACTCATTTTAAAGGGGGTTTATTTTTATTGTATCACCAAACTTATATAAAGACTAACTGTCATTTTCTCATATGTGTTCTTTCAGGTAAGCTGAAAAGGGTAAGGATAAATAAGTTTGATTTTAACATAATATACAAAGTATATTTTAATAAGTAATACAGTATCTTTTAAGACATCTTTTTACCTGAATATATTGTTTTAAATTTCAGTTCTTCAGAATTCTTACATGTTAGAACCATTGGTAGACCTAATGAGGCTGCAGACTAGTCGTTGTAACTAAGGCTTGATTGATATGTTAATTTTTATTAGGTACATCAATCCTATAAGCAGAAGTTAGCATTAATAATAAAATGAGCATATTTTCTAGTTATTTTCAGAAGAGCAAATAGCCTTGTAAATTCTGTGAAAGTTTGAATTATTGTCAATAATTCATTATGAAGTTGTAAAAAGTACTTATCCTTTTAATTTTGATTAGAATATTAAAGCAAAAATGTTATTAAAATGAGGGCAAACTTTAGATATCTTTATTAGAGTTCATCAGTTAATATTTCATTGGTGCTTTTATTGCAAAAGTTTAAAGACAACAAACAGGTCTAATTCTCTTTTCAGCATATATTGATTATTTCTGCTAGAATCAATAAGAATTATTTATATGTATGTAAGAAAGACCCTATCTCAGGGTTTTACTGTGTATTCCTTGAAATAGAACACGAGTAGGGATCTGAGATACATTCTGTTATTCTTTTTTTTTTAATGTTCTGCTTGATAGAGTCATTTGGAAATTCCAGTAGAACAACTGATAGAACTTAGTTTGTCAGAGAACTCACAGAAAAAATCACAGGTAAGATATATTCAACATAACTAAAGAACATGATTTAATATTGTTTTGTATTTTAGCTCTTTGTAAAATACTATTTTTTTGGTTATCAGAACAAAAGTAAACCAGGGATGTTTCAATTCTGGAGCTACCCTCATAATGAAGCAATAACTATGGAGAATAGGTAAGAGAACTTTTATTATTCAAAGATAAATTAAATGAAGCAACATTACTTTTTAGATGAGGTAGCTAATTAAATATGAAATCTTCAAGATCAGTAATGTTCTAGGGCTTTGTAATGATTACTAGCTTTTGAACTGGAGGAGGAAAGCATATTGGCATGGATAAAAATAATAGCTTATATTTATAAGACATTTTAAGGTATGCAGCATATTTTCCAAAACAGTACTGTGAAGTAGGTGCTGCCCCCATTTTACAGATGAGAAAACTGAGACTCAAAGAGGTTGTGACTTTCTGGGACTGAAACTCAGATCTCCTGACTCAAGTCTTCCCTTTCCAATAGAACATTACTGAAAAATGTTCCTTTCAATAATAAGAATGTCATGTAAATACTCCACGTGTGGATAATTAAGAATTGACTATCAAGTGTAATGTTTTCATGTGTGTTTGACAGGATTTGATTTGCCGCACAGTTGTGCTCTGGTTCTTCTCTCTTTCACATTCTGACTGATCCGTCTAGATAGGTCAGGTTATTCTTCTGACTGTGTCACTAACTACTGCTATTTCACTATCTCTGTCTTTAAATTTTTCAACTTACTTTTTGCCTCCATTTGAATCTCGGCATTATTGGATGTTTTGTTGTTCACCTGATGTTTTGTTTATCTTTCTGCTGTCAAAACTGTGTTTTAACTCTAGTGTGAAATGAAAGACCTGTGAAATTCAAACCTTTTAAGAGGCCTATCAAGACAGAAGTACTGTTTAAATGATGCTTAAATGAAAGTACTATTTAAATTTCTGTTTCTAGAAATAGAAAACAAAACAATACAACTCATCAATTGACTTCCTTGTAGTGGACAATAATCTGTGTTCTTTTATTTACACACATATAAGCATACATTCATGTATATATATACACACACACACACACACACACAAATGTGTGTGTGCAGAGAAGAAAAGATATTTTAAGAGAAATGTTTTAGGTGAAAAAGGTTTATTTCAAAATCTTCATTGGTTTTGAAAAAGTGGCATCTCCATAGTTAACAGCTGTCTAAATAATTTATCTTCCTTTGTGGCCAATGGATGGCATGGGAACTACCTGAAAAAGGGTGATCTGTAGTAAGTACTCTGTTGCTGTCACATTGGAACTTGTGGTAACAGTTAAAAAGAGTTTGGTGGTATGTGTGCCCAAGAGGTAGAGATCCTGTTAGGGGATAGGAAGGGCTACTTCCAAGGCAGTGGGGCTTATTGATGGATAAGAATTTTCATTGTGGAGAGGCTTAAAGTGCCGTATAATGAAATGTTCCAAAAGTTGAACTTTGTTCTGGGGAATAGAGAAGTGTAATTTATTGTCTTTGGTGGGGGAAAGGAGGGGAGATAATGATATTACAGAAAGACAAGTTTCATTGTGAGAGGGTCAGTACTTAAGAATTCTTTCCTATAGCAGTAGACCATTAAACTTAATAGAATGTTTAAAATAACTCTTCAGTACTTGTTTTTCTGAGATTAGACCAACATAGCAACTGACTTATATGTCTAAAAAATAATACTTTTTCCCCCCATTTTCAATAGAAAAATGATATTTTTAAAAATTTTAGACAGGTCTGCTGTAGATGTGTTATGTTAGGTTCAGGGAAGCTGGATTTATAAACAGCAAGAAAATGCTATCAGTGTATATTGGTAGATGAAGAATTCATGTAATATCAGTATTTCTAACTAGCTTGGTAAGTAGAAAAGCCAAAGTGACCATACTTATTCCCCACATTAATCTCAAGATTCTGTTGCTTTCATTTTATTATTATCCCTAGCAGTGTTACTTTAAAAATGAAATTACAGCAACTATCTAGTAGGTGGTTGATTATTCCTGAAAACATTTTTGTTGGGTAGAAGCTGATATTTTGTTTTGAATTTTTCTATAAACTTTTGGCTTTCTTTTTAAACTTCCATATGTTTGTCAGAATACTTTTTTAAAATCACATATTGGGGGGCAGCTATGTGGCACAGTGGCTAACGCACTGGCCCTGAAGTCAGGAGGACCTGAGTTCAAATGTGGCCTCAGACCAAACACTTGACTAGCTGTATGACCCAAGGCAATTGCCTAAAAAGTTTAAAAGAAAAAAAAAGAATGTGATAGTAGGGATTCTTTTGGGACAGCTAGGTGGTGCAGTGGATAGAGATCTCTGGCCTTGGAGTCAGGAGGACCCGAGTTCAAATCTGGCCTCAGACACATGACACTTATTAGCTGTGTGACCTTGGACAAGCCACTTAACCCTGATTGCCTTGCCAAAAGGCAAAAAAAAAAAAATAAAATAAATCACATGTTGGCATAACTGGAAACATGATTAAATGATATCAATTACTTCTTATAAGAGCTTCCTTATCTTTCATTCTGGACAAATAAGGTAAAATTTTCAGTGTGGCTTCAATTTGAATTAGTCCTTTTCAGATATAATAGTTGAAGTATTGTGTTTATATATGGTAATGGAGGAGGGAAGTGTGTATAATTAGCTGCTTTTGTTCTAATGGCAAATTATTTCTATAATTACCTACATTGAGGCACTTTAAGTTTGCACCAATTAACATTTTGTTTATGAATCATTTATGTACAGATCAGACAATATTGAGTATCATTGGAAGCTCTTAATATCAAACAGTTCAGAAGAGTATATTTACATTCTGGAAGGGCATACAAGGGAGCCTTTATCATTAACTTGTGATAATCAGCTTGTAATTATTCTTGTCATTATGTGTCATTAGTGATATTCAAATATTTGCTTTACAGAAAGAATTAAAATAATAAAAGTTTATACCATTAGAAAGATAAGTAAAACCTAGACTTTCAACTACTGTTGTCTTTAATCTTTTGTAAAAGATGCATTCTTAGCTGTAAAGCAACTCCCTTATAAAATAAAGGTACATTCCCACAGAATTAATCTCCCAATAAATCGAGGTGAAAAATTTTGGCAAAGAAAAAGTTAAGATGTTGTCCATCTTCACAGCATATTGATTCTACTTTCAAAATGACTTAGGAATGTTTTAGCACCACCCTTCATCTAGACTCTTGCTCTTATTTTTGGACTCTGTGATTTCCTTCCATGGCTAAGAATCTCTTTACTTTTGGAACATAACATCCTTTCTTTTTGACTAGACTGATATATCTCATCAGAAAAGATTTCTCATGTAATATGAATTTTACCAACCTGAAAATTTATTAATAATAACTCATATTTATAGAGTTCTTCAACACTTGCAAAGTGTTTTCTGCAGGAAACCTCTTATGGCAGCATGTATTATTTTTGCAGATGAGGAAAAACTTGAGATGTGAGAAACTACGTGACTTGAGTATTGTCACATAGCTTATAAGTATCTGAGGCAAGATTTAATTTGTGTCTCTTGAGTCTAGCATTCTTTCCATTATGCCGTGTTAACCTTTAATTAGATTTTGAGTTATGTAAAATAAATTTCCTACTTCACTTATTCATTAACTCAAAAATTCTATAAAGCAGATTTATTTAAAACAAGTAATACCAATACCAAACTCTTGGCTACTTGGTTATTTAAAGAACATTCATTTTGTAGGAAAGTCAGGTTGCTTGAATCAAGACTTCGCCGGTTGTTTTTTTTGTTGTTGTTTTTTGTTTTTTTGAAGACCAAGTAGAAATGAAGATTTGATCTGGTGTTTAGAAGCTATTTCTGTGGTTGTGCTGTACTTTTTAGCAGAAGAATTAGCACATTCTAGGAAGGTAACCTGTAGTCATTTAAGTTTGAGTAATTAGATTCTAGATTGTTAAAGATCATGTCACAAGAACAGAACAGTTGTAGAATCACATAATCTTAAGAGTTGGAAGGAACCTCAAAGGGTATCTAGTGAAGCCCTTACCAGGACAGGAACTCTACAATATCTCTGATAAGTAGTTATCCATCTTGAAGACCTGCAGTAAAGAGAAAGGAAGGAATGTAATCTACCTACCTCTCAAGGTAGCCTATTCTGCTTTGGCCAACATTAATTGTTGGGAAGTTATTCCTTCTGCAGTATGGACATTTGCCCGTTTGTGCTCTTTCCTGGCTTCAGTGCTTTGAGAAGTTCTGTTTACTAGGGGAAGCTTCAAGATATCAGAATTGTGGGAGATTTATAGCTGGATGAGGGATTTGTGTCAGGAAATACAAACTTTGAAAAAAGAATAAAATAGAGGGGAAACCATGGGAGATGAAGACCAGCAACTGTCACCGGAATTAGGCATCATTAGCACAGTAAGGATGATATTATATATAAGGAACAGTTCCTTTAGCCTCTTTCCATGGAACGACTGCCCTGGAGTCTACTGCTACCCTGTCTCAGCTCACTGCAACAGAGCTGTAGAAAGGGGGAGGGGAGGGAGGATGTTGTTTGCTGTATAAGCATTTATATCTCAGAACCTGGCAAACTATATATAAATTGGGTTTGATTTATTATTTTATTAATTGTTTAGATTTAAGAGTATAATGGAGAAAATGTTAATGCAAATTAAGCTTAAAAGCATGTCATTTATTTTTTGGAGAGTAGGTTGTTAAATATTTACCAGCCAGCACACCTCTGTCTATTGCCCTCCAGGCTGGCTGAATATTACCACCAAGCTGGACAGGGTAAAGATTGTTGCTGAACTAGACCTACTTAAGGAACAGGACATCACATACTAATATTCTCACTTCTGAGACCCAGCCCAGGACCTGAGTGTCAGATAATCAACAAGCACCTACCATGTGCCAGACACTCTGCAAAGACTTGGGATGACAAAGACAAATAATGAAATGATCCCTGCTCTCAAGGAGCTTTTGTTCTAGGAGTAAAACATGTGTATATGTGTATGTATGCATATATGTATATGTAAAATAAATACAAAGTAATTGGTGAGGCGGGGGGGGGGGGGGGGGGGAGCGCTTGTCAGCCAGAGGGATCAGGAAGGATCTCCTATCGGGTAGTCTTTGAGCTGAGTTTTAAAGGAAACTAAGGAGAGGCCATTCCAG